AAATACAAAACCTGTGCTAATTGAAAGAAAACAAGTTGACAAAAAGATTGAATTCAATATTTGGTGATAATATAGCATAATGAGTGATTTATAATCAATTTTTTGAGGCCGGGTCATTTTTGCCTGGGAACACCACAAGTGTGACTTTGTGCCATTTTGTACAAAATAAAAGCATTATTAAACATTAAGGCACACTATTGTGATAAACAGTGCTAATATAGCATAATGAGTGATTTATAAGCAATTTTTGAGGCCGGGTCCTTTTTGCTCTGTAACCTCGTTAGTGTGAAAGGGTTCTGAACACAACACAAGGGTTAATAACATTTCACCAAAATCAAGCTCAATTAATGAGGTTTTTGACCAGTGAATGTCGGACATCTGTGTTTTGTCCATCATCAGAACAGCTGCATCTGAGGCAGTAAGTGCAGCGCTTTGCAGTTTTCATCAACTTAAAGGCTACAAAGTTTATTGTAGCTAGACGAGGGCTCAGTTTTTCCTGTTGTTGAATACATTTGGCCTAAATCTCATGTTATAAAAGATACAAAGGCAGTATTAAGACAGTATTGGCTATGACTAAATGGCAAATGCTAGACTAAGGCACTGTTTTTCTCTCCTCAAATACATAGAACATTATTAGCCTTTATAGTGTTTTTTGAGCAAAAAAGCACTGTACTTATTCAAACAACCAGTTCTTTATTTACACTTGCAACGCAAGCAAGCCATTTCCAAACTGTGTGCAGTACTTAATTCAAGATGGAGACAGGGACGTGGAGTGGAGCTATGAATTTTTGCAGTTTGAGGATCCAATGGATTTACAATGTTCAGTCACAAGGCCTTTTTAATACTTTTCATTGGTTAAAGGTGGGGTATGTATTTTTTCAAAAATGATTTAGAATACTGAGGCCATGTCCACACATACACAGGTATTTTTATATTTTTAGGAGTTTTTCCGTCTTCCGTTTTTAAAAAAATCTCTGTCCACATGAAAACGCAAACGCATGTTATGAACAGTGTTGGGGAAAGTTACTTTTAAAAGTAATGCATTACAATATTGCGTTACTCCACGATAACACTGCAACCGGAGTTTTTGAAAATCTTCACCCTGGCAGGAGTTTTCAAATATGTTTGGTTTCAGTGAACTGGTGCAGAGTTTGCGTGTGGACGAACGGCCAAACCGCATAGAAAAGGCTGCGGTTTTGAAAATAACCGCGTTTGTGTGGACAGGGCCTGAGTCGGGCTGAGTACCAAAGCAAACTTGTAGCCAATCAGCAGTAAGGGGTGTGTCTACTCATGATGCAGAGGAGAGAGCGCTCAGTGCACAGGACGGACATTAGCCGAGCCGAGCGACGTCTGCGGAACAAAAGAAGGCTTACGATAAGGCAAGAAGTAGGACCCGTGTAAATATCGGATCAGCTTTCCAGCGCTGGAGAGAACTTAAGGAGCGGAAGGCCTGCGATCGGACGCCGAGGTTGCTTTGTTTCTTCTCGATAGGTGAAGCTCAGCTGCTGGAGGGACACAGTCCTACAGAGTTTAGTTACAACTCTGCTACAACACATACCTGTGGTTTTCAAACAAGCCTGAAGGACTTAATTAACTAGATCTGCAGCACTGATTTAAGGTTGAAGCTAAACTTGGCAGGGCTGTGGCCCTCCAGGAATGGAGTTTGACACCCCTGGTCTAGAATATGTTCAAATAAGTAGGTCAAAAAAGTAAGTCAACTGTCAAAAAACATACACCATTGGATTCTGTAGGAGCCAAGCAATAAAATGAGCTGCGATTCATGGCTATCAGTCAATGCCCAAAATGGCTGACATAGCAAAATTTGGTATTGTTTGACTTGGTATGCTACACCAACTCTAACAAGACCATTGATGAATTAGTGCCAAACTGTTTAAAAGTTATAAGAAAAAATTTAAATTTTTCATATCTCTTCGGCTGTGCCGAAACCGCTTATGTACTCTCAGGTCATGTTTGTTATAACAAACACCAAGTTTGGTATGAATACACAGAAGCGTTGCGGAGATATATTTTGGCCATTTTGGTGTGCTCTTCATGAGATTTGTTGATGCACTATGCAAGAACCCTTCTTCAATATCAAAATGTTTTTGCCAGCATAGTCTGAATATGATCTAAGCCAATGTTGGTGAAAGAAAAAATTTACTTTTTCTGAAAATTCACATGACGGTAAATAACATCTGGTGCAATTAAATCTTCATACCCTTACAATTCAAAAGTTATAAGCACAAACATGATTGCAAATTTGGACAGTTGGTGCTGCTAAAGGGTTTGTGTTAGAGAATCCAAATTTGCTATAGTTGATGTTCAAAAAGTCACCTGTGTGCCTGCAAGCAGTTCTATGGGTGGCCATAGACTCAAAAGCAGAAGAAAAAGAAAACTAAGGAATATAACAGATACCTTAGGTGCTTGATCCCTAATAAACTACAAAAATAGTCTAGTAAAGGATGGAAAGCAAAATATTATTTATTAGATTTAAAGGGTTAGTTCACCCAAAAATGAAAATTCTGTCATTAATTACTCACCCTCATTCCAAACCCGTCTTTGGAACACAAATTAAGATATTTTTGATGGAATCTGAGAGCTTTCTGACCCTGCATAGACAGCAACACAACTACCACGTTCAAGGCCCAGAAAGGTAGTAAGGACATTGTTAAACTAATCCATGTGCATAGGCGGAGGGTGAACCAACTCAGGGTAAGGCTAAAAGCAGCCAAATCTATTAAACATCATAAACCCGTCTTTTTAGGCAAGAACCAGACATGGGTGTCATGTAGGCTCAAAAAAATATTTAATGGGACTGAACTTTTTAGGTAATACGTAAATATACGTATATTATTTTGCGTATTTAACGTGATTACAATTTAATAAAAATGTTAGAAATTGATAATTATATAACGTTTCCTTTCCAC